AGAAAACCCGAATAGTCCAATAACAACAGATGAAGTTAAAGCAGTAATTTTAAAAAACTCCCAGGAAATAAACAACAGGAAGATAAAGAACCCAATTACAAGATGGGCAGAGGACCTAAATAGACACTTCTCCAAAGAGGACATGCAAATGCAAAAGAGACATATGAAAAAATGTTTAAAGTCGCTAATTTTCAGAGAAATGCAAATTAAAATGACAATATGGTACCACCTCACACCTGCCAGAATGGCTACCATTAATAAATCAACAAACAAGTGCTGGCGAGTGTGGAGAAAAAACAAGTGCTGGCGAGGATGTGGAGAAAATGCAAGCTGGTACAATCACTATGAAAAACAGTGTAGAGTTTCCTCCAAAAATTAAAAATGGAACTGCCATTTAACCCAGTAATCTCGATTCTAGGAATATACCCTAAGAAGCCAGAAATACCAATCAGAAGGAATATGCACCCATATGTTCATAGCAGTGTTATTTACAATAGCTAAGATCTGGAAACAGCCCAAATGGGAAAGTACCCATCAGTAGATGAAAGGATTAGAAAACTAGTACACTTACACAATGGAATATTTATGCAGCTGTAAAAAAAGAAGGATCTCTTACTCTTCAAGACAGTATAGAGGGAGCTGGAGAGTATTATGCTAAGCAAAATAAAGTCAAAGAAAGACAAGTATCACATGATCTCACTCATACGTGGAATCTAATGAACAAAATAAAGTGAACAAAAAAGATCAAAAGGCATGGAAGCATGCAATAGACTGACATATTTCGGGGGGGGGGGGGGGAGCAGGGGCCAGATTAGTCAATGAACATATCTGCATATATGCATAGCTCATAGACAATAGTGCAGGGAAGGCCAGGAGAGGGGACAGAAGCGAGGTGGAAGGTGTAAATGGGGGTAGAGGGGACGGAAGAGGGGACATCTGTTATACTTTCAACAATAAAGGTAAACTAAAAACAAAACAACAAAAAACTTCCCAGGAAATAAAAGCCCTGGCCCGAATGGCTCCACAGTGAAGTTTTACCAAATATTCAAAGAAGAAGTAACACCTATCTTCCTCAAACTATTCCAAAAAAATCGAAGAGGAAGGAACACTTCTAAGCTCTTTTTATGAGGCCAGCATTATCCTAATCCCAAAACCAGATAAAGACACTACAAAGGAAGAGAATTACAGTCCAACACCCTAATGAACATAGATGCTAAAATGTACAATACAGTAGGTCCTCAGGTTATGTAGAAGATCCGTTCCTATGGCATGACATAACGCGATTTTCGCCATAAGTCAGAACCCACCTACATAAGCACCTGTCACTCACATCGAGCACATACACAGCAGTAATGAAGGGAAACAGTAAAAAAAATTTAAAAGAAAGATAACAATTTCTGACCTTTACTTGTGGTAAATAAATAATAAAAAACATAAAGCACATATGTACATACGTCAAAATGACAGAACTTTTTTTTTTTTTATAACTAAATGGGAGATGG